AATCTGCCTTCTTAGAGAAATCTAGCCCCTCACCATCATCAATATTCCTTCTCTGGCATGAAGAGTGAGTTTTACTGAACTTCCTATCTTCTCAATCTTTGTTTCTTAGTAGTCTAATTATTTAAAACATTTCCCATCAACTTTTTCTTTCATCACTTTCAAGAATTTCTATGATATACACCACAACCTTTGATCCTTCAATTTTCTCTTGAGTTACCATGCTTCAAATTCTGTCTTGAAAAGTTCTCATAAGGACATGTCTCTATAGCTCCCCAATTTAGAAATTTTAAATAGAATCATTTTGCAAAAAAAAACAACAGCAAAGTTTCAAAGTAGATTTTAGAAGGCTTTAATGCTAAAAAGCTTTTGTTTTAGAAAACCCCAGATATATATTATAATGGTTAATTTTATGTGTCAAGTTGGCTAGGTCATGGTACCCAGATATTTGGTCAAACATTATTCTATACTAGAGGCCCGATGCACAAAATTTGTGCAAGAGTAGGCCTTCCTTTGCCCAGCTGCTGGCACCGGCTTCCCTTCGGCACCTGGGACCCGGGCTTCCCTTGCAGCCCTGGCTTCGTCTAGAACAGTGGTTCTCAACCTTCTGGTCCTTTAAATACAGTTCCTCATGTTGTGACCCAACCATAAAATTATTTTCGTTGCTACTTCATAACTGTAATGTTGCTACTGTTATCAATCGTAATGTAAATAACTGATATGCAGGATGGTCTTAGGCCAGTGGTAAGCAAACTGCGGCTCGCAAGCCACATGCGGCTCTTTGGCCCCTTGAGTGTGGCTCTTCCACAAAATATCACGTGCGGGTGCGCAAGTACAGTGCGATTGAAACTCCGTGGCCCATGCCCAGAAGTCGGTATTTTGTGGAAGAGCCACACTCAAGGGGCCAAAGAGCCGCATGTGGCTCGCAAGCTGCAGTTTGCCAACCACTGTCTTAAGCGACCCCTGTGAAAGGGTCGTTCGACCACCAACGGGGTCATGACCCACAGGTTGAGAATCGCTGGTCTAGAAGGTTGTCTGGAACTAGTCTGATCTAATTAGCATATTATGCTTTTATTATTATAGCTGTTTCTGTGAAGGTACTTTTTAGATAAGATTAACATTTAAATCAGTAGACACTGAGTAAAGTAAATTACCCTCTATAATGTGGGTGGGCCTCATCCAATGAGTTGAATGCTATAATAGAAAAAGACTGACCTCCCCAGAAGAAGAAATTCTACCAGCAGACTGTCTTTGAACGTGAACTGCAACATCAGCTCTTCCCTGTGTCTCCAGACTGCTGGCCTACCGTGCAGATATTGAACTTGACAGCCATCATAATCCATGAGCCAATTCCTTAAAATAAATCTCTCTATATATTTATATACATCTTACTGATTCTGTTTCTCTGGAGAAATCTGATTAATACACATATGATAAACTTTTTATTAACTAAGGTCATTACCACAGACTTTGAAGTCAGAAACATTTGGGTTTTGAATTCAGTCTTTTGACTTTGGGCCTCTGTTTCCTAATGTGCTAAAATGGGTATAATAATCTGAACCTCTCAGAGCCATTGTGCTGATGAAAGGAAGTCATGTATACAACACTTAGAACAAACCAATTGTTTAATAAGTCTTGGTTATTATTATTGTCATTGATGTTACTGCCTCTTACAGTAAAAATTCTCTTCCTTGTTACATGGGAACAACTGTAGGTACTGTCACTTTTTTTAAAATATATTTCATTGGTTTTCTACAGAGAGGAAGGGAGAGGGATAGAGCGTCAGAAACATCAATGAGAGAGAAACATCGATCAGCTGCCTTCTGCACCCCCCCCCACTGGGGACGTGCCCGCAACCAAGGCACATGCCCTCGACCGGAATCAAACCTGGGACCCCTCAGTGCGCAGTCTGTCGCTCCATCCACTGAGCCAAACCGGCCAGGGCAGTACTGTCACTTTTTAAAAAATATTTTTATTGATTTTAGAGAAGAACAGAGAGGGAGAAACATCAATGATGAGAGAGAATCATCGATAGGCTGCCTCCTGCACACCCCGACTGGCGATCAAGCCTACAACCCCAGCATGTGCTCTGACCAGTAATTGAACCGTGACCTCCTGGTTCATAGGTTGATGCTCAACCACTGAGCCATGCTGGCTGGGCTAGTACTGTCACTTTTATCCTTCCTCTTTATGACTCCTTGAAATGTGTTATGATCACACAACATCCATCTTGAGTTGCATATTTAAAAATTTTTTCTTGCAGCATGGAAATTAATAGTTACTACTTACTTGAGCCTTTGTAATTTGAAATTTGGATATTTTAAGCCTTCACAGAGCAATTTCAAAGCTGAAGCATAAAATCCAGGTCAATGAGTGACCGTCTGGTGCTGAGAACAACTGCTAGCACCCCACAAGAAGATGGAGAAATAAGGCATCCATAAAAATCTTCAGAAAACAGAAGAATGACCTCGTTACCTTATTCATGCTCTCCCCCGACACAAACAGAAATTGACAAAAATAATATTCTATATAATAAAAGGGTAATATGCAAATTGACCCTAATGGTGGAACTACCAGGACAACCAGTCGCTATGATGTGCACTGACCACCAAGGTGCAGACGTTCAATGCAGGAGCTGCCCTCTGGTGGTCAGTGTGCTCCCACAGGGGGAGTTCCATTCAGCCACAAGCCAGGCTGAAGGCTGTGAGCGCAGCGGTGGTGGCGGGAGCCTCTCCCACCTCCTCGGCAGTGCTATGGATGTCTGACTGTGAGAGGGCGCAGGCTGGGCCGAGGGATCCCCCCAAGTGCACGAATTTTCGTGCACTGGGCCTCTAGTAAACAGATAACAAACTTTCCTGCTACCATTTACCTCAGTTCTGTAAGATACAGTTTGTCTGTGTTAATCCTTCATACAGAAGTTTCATTACTGAATCTTCCAGGGTATTGCTCTATAAATCCCAAATCTGTCATATACTGGTTGGATTCAAATACTAAGGAGAGGTCCCTACTACAAGAAGCTGTCAGGTGGCAGTAAATTAGTCTGTGTGGAGAAAAAGACATTTCTGAGAAGAAAGAAAATAGGATTCTCTTTAAAGGTACCTATTTGCAACTTACTGATGTAATGAATTATTTCAATAAATTCAACAATTAATTTATTGGGTGCTTTCCACTGTTCTAGATGCTAAAAACACAAATAATTATGCCCCAGACCCTGCCCTCAAGGAACATACAATTAATGAGGAAAAATGAGAAAATCATGGATTATAATATAATGTGAAAAATACTGCAAGTGGTATGGACAAAGTACCATACCATGAAGACACAGAAAGGTGGCACAATTCAGCCTAGCTTTGGGTGGGGTTTGGAGGATCACGAATACTTATAAGTGGAAGAAATAACTGAGTGCTGTTGTGAAAAGGAATAGCAATTAAAGAGGAGTTAGGTGGATGAGAAGAATGGGAGTAGGGAGAGGCGCTGAGAGACAAATTCACTCATGGAGCAACCTGTGCAAAGGCCAAGAGGAAAGAGAGAGGATGCTTAATTTGAGAAACTGCCAATTATCTGCTATGGCCTATTTTTTTTAAAATATATTTTATTGAGTTTTTTACAGAGAGGAAGGGAGAGGGATAGAGAGTTATAAAAATCTATGAGAGAGAAACATTGATCAGCTGCCCTCTGCACACCCCCTACTGGGGATGTGCCCGCAACCAAGGTACATGCCCTTGACCGGAATCGAACCTGGGACCCTCCAGTCCACAGGTCGACACTCTATCCACTGAGCCAAACCGGTTAGGGCTGCTATGGCCTATTTTAAAAGACTGGAAGGATATATATCAAGCTATTAGCAGTGGTTAGCTCCCAGATTGGGGGAAGGGTGGCGTTACAGGGAGCCATTTACTTTCTAGGTAAATAAATATTATTTATATATACAATTATTATATACTTAAAAATTATAAGAAGTTATAAGAAAAATGTTTTTCATTTTGAAAAATGTAACCTGTTTATTAATAAATTATTTTTACAGTAGAGAAAAAATAAAATATATTTTTTTAAATGTACTATATTCCTACCTCCCAGAGACAACCAATGTTAAAAGTCTGGTGTATACCCTTCCTTCTTTTCCAAGACACTTGTGCAAAGACACACACCCACACACCCACACACATGTGCGCATACACAGATTCGTACATTTTACAAAAATGGAGTTGTAGAAAACATTACATCAAGTTTACATGCGCTTGTCATTCAGTCCCATTGTAAGCCCATAGACAGAAACTGCGATCCGGTTATAGCACAAGGTCATATAATAAGTGGCAAAGTAGGGCTCTACCTGGGTTCTGTCTGGTTTATCCCATAGGATTCAGAAAGCCATCGGAGGTTTAAAGAGACATGATCACCCCTCTGATGATAAGGTAGGCCAGAAGACAGACCTGACATCAAAAGGCTGCAGGAGTCCAGAGAAGAAATAGCAGGAGATGGGGGTGACGATGGTAGGGGGTGTGACCGGCCGCAGATTCCAGACAGTCTCAGGAGTATATAGGGCTGGGATTTATGACCACTACAGTGACCACAGTGCTCAGTCCTGGGTCAGTGGAGTATTAGGCTGTTTTCTGGCCCCAACCTCTTCCCCAGTGGGAACCTGAGGCCACTGGCAGGATTGGACTCGTCCGTGTTCTAGAACATTCCATTTCTAGGAGGAGAGCACCCTCCTGGAGTGGGACAAACCTTTGTGGTGGTGAGAGAGGGTGAAGTTTTTTTATACACGATCACAAGTGCTTTGCATTCTTAGATCTAAGTCTTTTCTGACCACTCCCGTCTCTTCCACCTTCATGAGCTTTCAACAGTATAGTGGGTCCCCTGATGCCCTGGGGGTGGGAGGATGGGAAGGATATTCCTGGCGCATTCGCTCCCACCCCTGCTGTCTCTGGAAATTGGTACAGTCCCAGGGTATAAGGCTCCAGGGTTGGGGCTCAGCCTTTCTTTTCCCCCCCGGAGCCATTGGAAGGAAAGGTACCCTACCTCTTTGGGCATGGTGAGGAGGGGGGCACAGTGCAGAGTCAGCGGGTGTGGTCCGCGGGCGTGGTCCGTGTACACTTCCTTTGGCCAGCATCTGGAGAGAGGAAA